GGGCCGTTGCACTGGGGGGGGGGGCTTCCTCTCTTTGGAGTTGGTCACTCACACGGGATCTACTGGTAGAGCTTGGAGCCTCTGACGGGATCCTGACTGGTTTGGCCAAGAGGCTTCAGCTCCCCCCTACTTCAGTTGCCCTTCCTCCCACGGCTGCGCATCTCCTGCGCCCCCCCCCCCCCCCCCCCCCCAATCTTCTCTGCTCTGAGCAGAGTGAAGGGCATAACAGAGCTTGGGATGGAGTTTGTTGGCTGCCTTTGAGAGTGGTGCAGGGTTAGGGCAGGGATAAGCCTGCCTTAACCCACTGCACCACTAAACAGGAGCCACCGGAGATAAGCAGTGCCCAGCTGGAGCCCACATCCTGAAACCCTGCGCTGTTCATGAACTCCGTCCTGCACCCCAAGTCCCAGCCCTAGCCTCAAGCACCCCGCATCCAAACACCCTCCCAGAGCCTGCACCTAGAAATCCTTCCAGCACCCAGCCCCAGGCCCAGCTCAGAGCCCCTCACCCTCCAAACCCCTTAATCCAAGACCAGAGCCTGCACCCCAACCTGCTGCCCTTGTCTGATGAAAGTGAGGGAGGATGGAGTGAGCAAGGGGCGGGGCCTCAAAGGACACGAAGGAGGCGGGGCCAGGGTGTTTGGGTTTGAGGTAGCTCTTGGCTTGCACTTAAATTCAAAAAGTGATCTCGTGCTTAAAAAGGTTGGAGACCCCTGACTTACAGTAAATGTCTGGACTAAGGAGTAAATGGAGTGGCACAATCAGCGAGGGGGATGTTGCTCTTGTCTGACTCCTCCACTGGTCAGCCTAGGCAGGTGGCCCATTTGTAATGGTAGGTATGTAACAAATGCTGAACATTCCAGGCCTTCATGCATCCCAGGACGGAAAGGATGTAGGCATTTTTCTCATGACAGTCAGCTGTTCAGTTTTTCTTTGTAAACAAGGCCCACCCTTTTTAGTTCCTGGGTAGTGTTGACCTGAAGGGACTTCTAAAATTATGTGCAAGCAGAATGCTTGTATTATAATTACACAAATAAATAGAAAGCTTCATGTATATTTACAATTATAACTACTTTTGAAAATGTAAAATTAATTTGTGATGGGTATATGTATGCGTATATAGTTAACTATATATGTATATGTATACCTAACTCTATATGTATACATATACCTAGGTATATGTATATAGCTAAATGATTATTGGGAACAGTTCAAACTTGGTGATTACCTTGATTTCTATTCTAGCATGAATAGATGCTGTCTGTACTCTTAATATTGGTTTCCACATGCAGTGTTTTTGTAAATGTGGTCAAAATAATAAATGGATTTTTTTTTTATAGGTGCAACATGCAAGTAGACAAATTGCTGCTGACAAACAGTACAAGGGTATCATTGATTGTGTAGTCCGTATCCCAAAGGAGCAAGGAATGCTGTCCTTTTGGCGTGGAAACTTGGCTAATGTCATCAGATATTTCCCCACTCAGGCTCTCAATTTTGCTTTCAAGGATAAGTATAAGCAGGTGTTCTTAGGAGGAGTGGACAAGCACACTCAATTTTGGAGGTATTTTGCTGGCAATCTGGCTTCTGGTGGTGCAGCTGGAGCCACTTCTCTCTGCTTTGTCTATCCTTTGGATTTTGCAAGAACCCGTTTGGCTGCTGATGTTGGAAAAGCTGGTGCTGACAGAGAATTCAGAGGTCTTGGGGATTGTCTAGTCAAAATTACCAAGTCTGATGGTCTGCGTGGCTTATATCAAGGATTCAATGTGTCTGTTCAGGGCATCATCATCTATAGAGCTGCCTACTTCGGAATCTATGATACTGCAAAAGGTAATTTATAGGGGTAGCTGGAAGATTGCACAGGCGAAAAAGTAAACTTTCTTAACTCTTGGGTGTTTGTTTGCAATATGAACGTATACACACACAAAGCTGCATTGAACTATATGTAGAATGAGTAGCTTAATCTTTTTTCATTTGCTTAGAGGCGATTCATATCTATCACATTGATACCAGTTATAGTTTCACTTAAACAAATTCATTGTGTTTACGGACTATTAAAGCAAATATTTACTTTAAAGGCTTGGAATATTTTCCCCCCTGCTTTCTGTGAAGTCCCTGGGCAATTGATGTTAATGTTCTTTAATTAAAGTTACAAAACAAAAGCACTTTATCTTTAAATTTCTGAACCTGTATATTGACTATTTTTGGAAGAGAGAACTATGGTCCTGGTGCAACATTTTGTGCAATGCTAGCCTTACAGTACGTGGAGTTGCTCATTATTGTAAAACTGTGAATAACAGGTAACTTTCAAAGTTGGTTGTGTGAGTTGCAGGGAAGGAGGGAGTTTGAACCCAGACACATATGTTTTGGTGTCTTTACTGCAGGCATGCTTCCGGATCCCAGAAACACTCATATTGTGATAAGCTGGATGATTGCACAAACAGTGACTTCTGTGGCAGGTGTTGTCTCTTATCCTTTTGATACAGTGCGGCGCCGAATGATGATGCAGTCAGGACGTAAAACAGGTAAGCTCTTGATATTTATTAATTTAAAACTTTGTTCTGCAGTTTAGCAGTGGTTTGTATAATTACCAGTGCCTTTGACTTGATGCAGATGCAAATACTGGTAATTTAAATTTCTTTTGAACTTTTTTGATAAACTTTTCTTAGAACAAGCTTTAATCCATCAGCGCTCATTTTATATCTTGAATAGCTGGTTGTCTCGGAGTAGTCCATTAGTCGACTACTTGATAAACCTAGGCTTGTTGGGTAGTTGAGTCGACTACTCACATTTCCTCCCTACCCCCAAAAGCCGGTTCTCTCCCTGTACTGTGTCCACAGGGTGGGTGGGGAAGAGGCAGAGGTGCCTAAGTAGTCCCAGGTCATGCCGGTTCCCAGACCTGCCCCCACTGCAGCTCTGTACCTTAAATGTAGTAGGCACCAGGCTGTCTGCACGCCCAGTTCTTACTACATTTAAACTGCAGAGCCGCAGCAGCTCCTTATTGACTAATTATGTTCTCGTGTAATTATGTACTCGTGTAATCATGTATCGGCTATATGATTAGTCGTTTATTTGCTGCTTAATATCCTTAATTGTCATGATCGTTTTAAATCACAAGACATTAGCTTTTATTCATCTGTTACTTTCTAATATTTACAAAGTAGTTAGGTTCTCAAATTGAGAATACTGTATTTTATGTAAGGCAGTGTTGATCTTTATGGGTACTTTCCCATGTGGCATTACATTTGTCAATTACATCTTTCTTGTCAGTTACTGTCTCAATTAGGCTTTCATAAAATTGAAGCGTTCCCATTATAACATTGTAATTAAGAAAAATAGTGAAGCAAATTGTACTGAAAAACCGTTTTTCTTGTTTCTTCCACAGCTGATATAATGTACTCTGGAACAATTGATTGTTGGAGGAAGATTGCAAGGGATGAGGGAGGAAAAGCTTTTTTCAAAGGTGCATGGTCCAATGTTCTCCGAGGCATGGGTGGTGCTTTTGTGCTTGTGCTGTATGATGAATTCAAGAAAGTAATTTAAAAACAGCCTGACTAGAATTGGAAATCAAGTTGAGCATATCATGTAGAATAACTTTGCTATTATGGACCATTGACCTTCAAGAAATTCCTGTGTTGTATTATTTATCGGGGCCAGATCATGTTGGTAGATGGGAGACTAGAAACTTAAGGAAACTGATCTATTTCAAGATTGACTTTATGACAGACACTGAAATTGACAGTTCAGCATTCTGAATTGTCTATATTAGTGTTGGGATATCAATGGCAGTAGGGCCAGGTCCAAAATGGTTGATTCACAAGCAGTTTGGACAAATCAAGTTTTCTATATCTGCCCTCAGATCAGTCTGTAGTTTCACATCTTATCTTATAGGACCATAAAATTGTTTATTTAACAGCTCATGTCTATTCCACTTGTATTTAAGCACTCTGTACCATTTTGCACAACTGAACATCTAGCAATTATGTTTTTTAAATTGGGGCATTCTGCTGTAAAACAATAAACATACTTACTGTGTTGAAACTAATATTTAAGCTTTGACTCTCCTGGGAAAATGTGCGAGCCTCTTTCCATAAAGTTCCAATTTCACTTGATACCTTCATTTGAATCAGTATGTTACAACATAGTACATACCTTGCCCTAAACAGGATTAGGTATGGTAAATGCAAGAAATTGTTGTTGCATTGACCTCATTTTTTAACTTTAAAAATGTGTTATAATACTATATAATCATTCCAGTTTAAATTATTTTTGTGATTTATTTCAAAATACCTGTTTGAGAAGTAGCTATTAATAGACAAAAGCGGCGTGGAGTCCTGTGGCACCTTATAGACTAACTGAAGTGTAGGAGCATAAGCTTTCGTGGGCAAAGACTCACTTCATCAGATGCACACATTAATAGACACACACATTCCCTCAGGAAAAGTTAAAGAAACCCCTATGTCCAACTCAGTTCCTATATTTTTGTGCCCCCTTCTCTTCTTCCTTCCTTCACTCCAGCCCCCGGAAGGAGGTAGTGGATCTCTCTTGAATTAGTTTTAATCAATAAATGCTTAATAGGAAGGTGACATTTAAATTGAGCTTGGATTTCTTTTGGGATATTTGTTGGGGAGGGAGAGGCTTGATATTCAGAATGGTGTAATAGCTCAAGTAAATGAATTAAATTCAACTAGTGCATTCTTAAGGCTGTGTCTATCCCATAGTGGCTTATGGTGTCATACTGCGGCATTCTAGGTGTGCTACCATAATACTCTGGAGCTAGATGCAGCTGGCAATGATAGAAGGGATTTTTCTATTGCTGTAGGAACACCACTTGGAAAAATTCTTCCATCATTAGCATTGATCTTTGTTCTATTGACCTTACTCCATGACTGCATGGGGCTAGATTGGCATAACTGATTTCATGGGGGTGGGTTTTTCATGCCTCCATGGTACCATAGCAATGTTGCCCTAAATTTAAATGTGGCTCATGCCTCCAGCTTCAGCAGTTGTCTGAACCGGCTGTAAAAATGGGATCATCTTTGGGTTTGGCCGGGAGAGTCTATAAATGGAGACCTAATTTCCTTTGTGGAGTTGTGTATGGCCAATATAAGCAATCTGTGCTTTAATCATTCTCCTATTTCTGTAATAGGTAAGCCCGTATAACACTTTTATAGCTGTTCTGTCTCTGTTAAGCTCTATGGTAGGTGCAACAAAATGTATCCAGGTATTTTATGTAAATCTTGTCCTTCGCATAAGTTTTATCTTTCTTAGTTAATAGCAATAGCTTTTGGGGGAGAGATGGGATTTCTGCATTGATTTTAGTCAATTATACTTATCTATCAAAATTTAAGCCAGTTTGTTGCACAGGTATGACTCAGGGCTTAAGTTACATTTGTAACAAGTGAAAGAGAGCCTGCATAGTCTTTATTATTGGGGATGCGAGTATTTGAGGAGTAAAAGATCTACATTGCTATCGGGTGCCATGTTGAGTTGGCAGCTGTGGAAGACTAATTCAAACCTGGGTAGCATGGAATAATAAAGACAAAGCTGGAAAGTCAAGCTCTTACATTTTATGGTGCACATAAGTCTGGCGTGTGCTTTTTTTGGAGGGGGGGGGGGTGTCAAAAAACCCTGCTTTGTGAAGTAGAGAACATAGACAAAATAACATTTTTCTCCCCACCTCCCTCTGTTCTAAAATTTTCAACCTCTGTCCCTTCACAAATGGAAAAAATATGCTGGAGCATGATGGGAGGTCTTCTGAAATGTGAGTGCCTCTCCCCTGGGAAAAGATTGAAACCCATCAGTATAACATACTGGGCACCAGACACTTGAGCTACTTGGTCTGTGATTTGGCCACAGTAGGCATGAGGTTCGCAGACATTTCTCAGAGTTAAAGCTGGATCAGCTACTCCTTGATTTAAAAGTTTTCATGTAATGTAATTTCCTCCCTTAGATACATGGTATGTTTTCCTGTAGCAGACATGGTTAATTATCATACTACTGCCAGCAATTATGTTCACTTTTTGTCTTCAATATAATTTATGCTAATATTTCTTATTAGTTTGTGCAGAATTGGCAGTTCTTGTGGTCTTATTTCTCAGTTGAAGCTGCTGTTTGTTGTCAAGACTGCTTGTTAAAGCAGTAAAATAAACAGGAACCCTCCTAGTTTTTTCCCTCTAGGATCCACTGGGACATGAAGGTAGAGAGAATACAGAAGGTACACTATGTACTTCGCACCTCTATCTAGTGAGAGGGGGGCCAAAATCTGCCAATAAAGCACACACTGTGACTGGTATAGTATTGAAACATTTATATATTTTTATGTATTTAACACATACACACATGAACTGGAGGAGGGAAACCAGTCTTTTTTTCAAGGGCGTGCTGATGGAATTTGTATCCCCTATATCTCTGCTGTAAATTACAGCTTGTGTCATTTTTCATGCTTTTTATGGTTCTCTATCATATTTAGCAACACAACTTTATTTGTGATTAAACAGTGTGGACGCATAGGTTCTAAACAATAAATGAGATATTAAAAACTTGTTTTCTGTATTACTGCAACAACCAGTTTCTATTCAAATGAATAAAACCACAGTTTAAATTCAAAGCATTTAACTGGAACTCCCAAAAGACTGACTGGCACTAACAGATATCGTTTGCATACCCTGAATAATACATTTGAAATTTTCTATGAAAACTATAGATTTGACTGCTATAGGCTGTGTCGTCGTGTCCCGTCCTGTCCCCCCTCCCAGTGGGTGCTATCAGGCTGGTGCACCCCTGGGGAAAGCGACTCCTACTCACCCTCTCAGGGTGGGTCTAGACTGGCAAGATTTTGCGCAAAATCTTGCTGCCTGTCTACACTGGCCGCGAGTATTTGCGCAAGAACACTGACTTTGTACTTTACAAAATCAGTAGTTCTTGCGCAAATACTTTGACACTCCTGCTCAGGGATAAGCCCTCTTGCGCAAGTATTCTTGCGCAAGAGGGCCAGTGTAGACAGGCAAGTTAATTTCTCGCGCAAGAAAGCCCAATGGCTAAAATGGCAATCGGAGCTTTCTTGCGCAAGAGAGCGTCTACACTGGCACGGATGCTTTTGCGCAAAAGCATCTGTGCCAGTGTAGACGCTCTCTTGCACAAATACGGAAAAACTTTCCCGTTAAACGTATTTGAGCAAAATCATGCCAGTATAAACATAGCCTCAGCGCTTCCAGTCCATCACAAATGGTTTACTAGTAGTGCTCGTTCTTGGGAGGAGTGGAGGCAGGAAGAGGGGGGACACTCGGGGGAAGAGGTATGGTGGGTGCAGCACTCCACTGGGCTGTAGTCCAGCCCCTTCACTCCCCCTTCTTTGTCAGTCAATGCTGTCTCCTCTCCAGCCACTGGTGCAGAGCTGCACAGGAAGTGGCCCTAGAGAGTCCAACACTGACTTCTCCAGTTTAGCAGATTCCCTTGTTTAGGACCTGTTGGGTCCCAAAGGTACCAGAACAGGAAGTTACGACCTGTAGACAATTTTTACAAGGCTGGCCTTTAAATGTGTATGTTTAGTACTTTTAATTTTTGTAAATATGTTGGATTGGTTGGTATATAACTTTATTTTTTACGTAAGTGTATGGGTCAACTCAGTTAAATTTAATTGGCATGGGACATGTCTAGGATCTGATTTTTTCAGGGTACATCTCAAGTTTCACTTACAGTAAGTGGATAGCAATACCTCCTACTTCACTGATCTGTTGTAAAGATGAATGAAATTGACATTTGTGCTTGAATCTAAGCGCTGCACATACTGAATGCTAAATTTTAAAAAAAAAATGGAACAGCTATTGGTTCAATGAGCAACATCTGTCTTGTACACAAACTATGGTTTATGGGAAAAGACTATCACAATACACATGCACAAGGGATCAAGTTTAGAGTGCACAGGCAACCTTTATTCAGGCAGAATAGTAATAGAGATGTAGCCATGTTAGTCTAGTCTTGCTGAAACAAAAGACAGGACTATGCAGCACTTAAGACTAACAAGATGGTTTAGTAGAGGGTGAGCTTTCGTGGGCCAGACCCACTTCCTCAGATGAGATTGTGAAAGAAAATTGGCATGACATGCCAGTTTTCTTCCACAATTTGATCAGGGAAGGCAATGAGTTATTTCCCTGACTGTGTCTCTTGGTGGTGGTCTTGTTTATGCATCCTGGTACTCTGTGTTCTGTGGTGTGCTCTGTGTAAATGGCTCTAGACCACTCGATGGTGTCAGACACCATTGAGCTGCCTCATAAGTCAAGCATGGCGCCGATCAACGCCACATACAGCACCATACTCACACGATCCCGGTGTGAATCTGTAACTTATACCCCTGGGTTCTCAGGGAGTTGGCTAGTGTGGTATATTTCTCCACCTTCTGAGAATGGGCTTCGTGAAAGGCCAGGGGTTGATCTAGTTCAGTGGTTCTCAATTCTCACTGCATCATGACTTCCTTCTGACAAAAAGAAAGTATTACACGACTCCATGGAGGGGGACTGAAGACTGAGCCTGCTTGATCCCAAAGCTGTAACCTTAGCCTTGGGCCATGGGCTTCAAACTTGTTGGGGTCAGGGCTGACACCAGTCTTGGTGACCCTGTTGAAATAGGCTTACATCCCACTTGGGGGTTAAAAACAACAGAGAACCCCAACCTAGTTATTGGGCTTAGCCAAGAGATTGTCAAAGATGTGAAACTTGGAAAAAAATATTCAAGTGGAAACTAAGTCAAATTACTACATATATAAAAACTGAACACAAGCATGTAGGAAAAAAATTAGTAAGGCCAAGGCACGCAGTAAGATAAAACTAGCTAGAAAATAAATAGTAACAAGAAATCATTTTAGAAATGTATTAGAAACAAGAGAAAGACTAAGCTTGTCTATGCTGGCATTTTACTGCCTTGCAACTTCCTTGCTTAGAGGTGAAAAAAACCTCCCTAGTGCAACAAATTACAGCACTGCTGCCGTGGCTATACTAAGCGTGGACATTGTCTAAGGATAGGGGTAGGTGCTTATGATTACTTATGATGCAAGGAGGACAAAAGCAGAAAATGCAACAATGGTCAAAGTACAGGTTGGGCCTCCTTTGTCCTGCACCATCAGGATGTAACTGGTCCCGAACAAGAGAATTTGCCAGACATGGGGAGGTCTGCCACTGGCACCCAAGCCCATGCAGCTGGCAGGCTGCCTCAGGAAGCACCCTGCTTGACCTTCCCCTCCAAACTGGCGGGGCTGCTTGGCTAGCTGCTGTTGGCTTCCTGAGCAGCACAGACTCCGGTTCCTGCAGGGGGCTGTGGCCCAGCCCCACATGCCCAGGGGCTGCTGCACAGGGCTGGCCCGAGCCATTTGTGCGCTCCAGGTTCCGGGAGCATAGCGCCGACCCCGGGAGTGCGACGCATGTGTGGTGCTGCCCCCAGGCGCCCAGCGCATACGTGGCGCTACCCTGGGCACGCGGAGCATGTGCGGTACTGCCCCTGCCCAGCCCGGCAGCCCCGCGTGGCACCCCTTACAACGGGGTGCCCTGGGTGGGTAGCCTGATTGGCCTGTACCTTGGGCCGGCTCTGCTGCTGCAGGACTCCAGTCCCCAGGTGCCTGAGGGGCTGCTATGTTGGCTCTGGCCCTTCATTTGTGGAGGCTGCCAGCAGGCTCCGCCACCACACTGCTGCAGGGCTTCAATCACAGCCCCCATTCCCAGGGGTTGCTGTGCAGCTTCGGCCCCATTCCAACATGGGCTACCCAAAGACTCCAGCACCGGCCTTGTGCTGCTGCAGGTTTACACAGCGCTCCGGCCCGCATTCCTAGAAGCTGCTTTAGGGCTCCAATCCTAGTCCCTTGACTTGGGGGGCTGCTGTGGGCCTCTCGCCCTGCGCTCCTGGGGATTATCAGGAGACTCGGCCCCACACTGCTGCTGAGCTGCTAGGGATTCCAAATTACTGAAATGTTTTTTCTGACACATTCCAAGTAATTCACCCATGCAGACACGTAGCATGGAAAAACATCTGTCCAAATTTGACAAAATTATAGGAAACTGAAAACAGGGTCTTAGAAGTGTTAAGTAATATTTGTAGGTGAGAGAAAGGGAGTGAGTGTACAAAATGCACAGCATTGCCATGAGGATTGTAGGTGTTTAACTTGGGGAATCCACATGCTTCATTTTGCTTTTGGTAAGTTATGCAACTTCTTCAACAGTAGTTATTTCTTCAGTTTCATATTTTGTTAGTGGTGGATCCATCCCTTCCTTCTATTGTAGGAAGAAGAAACAATCTCCATTAGTTTCATGCATGAGATTGATTAGAGATTTACCACTTGAGACCCCAGTTTATTCATTTAACAGGTAAGGGTATTTCAAAATTTTTTCTTCCCTTTAATTTTTCTTTCGAATGCCACCTCTTGCAAGGAAAACAACAGTGGGCACACCTCTATTATAGTGCCTATGAACTCAAAGATATAAAGGATGCATCACTTTGATTCCTAAAAGTTTTTACTCAGAGAAAATTCCAGCTACAGTAAAACTCCAATGCTACAGTAAAATGCCAATGCTCTGGCACTCCTGATGGTCTGACACCATCAGGAACCTGGGGCAGCAGGACAATTGGAGCTGCTCTGCGCCTGGCTTCCCCAATTCAGCCGCTGCTGAAACTGACCATCAGATGAATAGGGGAAGTCGGGGGCAGGGCAGCTGGGGTGCTGCCGGGTTGGTCCCGTAGTGCTGCCCCTCGGGGCTGCGGGACCAACCCGGCAGCACCCCAGCTCCTCTGTCCCAGGCGTCCCCCAGCCACTGACCAGCAGCCAATAAACTTCCAATAATCCAGCACCTTTAGGACCCAGGGGGTGCCAGATTCTCAAATATGCCGGACTACTGGAAGGGGGGGCTATGAGTGGTCTGGGTTGGAGTTTGGGGATGCGCCCCTTGGCGCTGCGGGACCAACCCAGCAGCACCCCAGCTGCTCTGCCCCAGGCATCCCCAAGAGCAGCTGGGGTGTGCTGCTAGGTTGGTCTTGCAGTGCCAAGGAGCGGCGCTACCGGACCAACCTGGCAGCACTCCAGCTGCTCTGCCGCAGGCGTCCCCGATTCAGCTGCGGCTGAAACTGACCAGCAGCGGCTGAATCAGGGACGCCTGGGGCAGAGCCGGACTATGGTAAGGGGGGGCTAAGAGGGATCTGGGGTGGCATCCCCTCCCACCCCACTCCAGACCCCTCATAGCTCCCCCTTTTGATAGTCCGGCATATTTGATAATCCGGCACCCCCTGGGTCCTAAAGGTGCCGGATTATTAGAAGTTTAGTGTAACATGAATGGGAGTTCTGCAGTCCTTATGTAACCCTCACACCTATGTGGTGTGGTTCACTGTCCTATGAAGTGGCACTTAGACCACTTACAGCAAGAGATAACAATGAGAGAGCTCTACAACCTAATCTGAGAGCCAGCTCGTTTTATAGCTCAAGCTGTAGAGAATCCTACACTTAGGGGCTACGTCTACACTGGCCCCTTTTCCGGAAGGGGCATGTAAATTTCACTAGTCGTGGTAGGGAAATCCGCGGGGGATTTAAATATCCCCCGCGGCATTTAAATAAAAATGTCCGCCGCTTTTTTCCGGCTTTTAAAGTTTAAGAGCCTCCGGAAAAGGGCACTTTTTCCGGAGGATCGGGGCCAGTCTAGACGCTCTTTTCCGGCTTTTTTAAAAGCCGGAAAAAAGCGGCGGACATTTTTATTTAAATGCCGCGGGGGATATTTAAATCCCCCGCGGATTTCCCTACGACGACTCGTGAAATTTACATGCCCCTTCCGGAAGAGGGGCCAGTGTAGACGTAGCCCCTCCGGAAAAGGGCACTTTTTCCGGAGGATCGGGGCCAGTCTAGACGCTCTTTTCCGGCTTTTTTAAAAGCCGGAAAAAAGCGGCGGACATTTTTATTTAAATGCCGCGGGGGATATTTAAATCCCCCGCGGATTTCCCTACGACGACTCGTGAAATTTACATGCCCCTTCCGGAAGAGGGGCCAGTGTAGACGTAGCCAGGGTGTGTCTAGACGACAGGGTTTTTTTGAAAAAAGTGGCCTTTTTTTTAAAAAAAGGCCCCTGCATCTAGACTGCTGCCACGTTCTTTCGAAAATAAATCGAAAGAACGCAGCAGTTTTTTCAACCACGGAAAACCTCATTTTACAAGGAAGAATGCCTTTTTTCAAAAGTGCTCTTTCGAAAAAAGGCACTATATAATGCAAACTGTGCTTTTTCAAAAGAGAGTATCCAGACTGCCTGGGTGCTCTCTTTCGAAAAAGCAACTTGCTTTTTCGAAAGTACTGGGTGTAGTCTAGATGCTCTTTTTCGAAAGAGGCTTTTTCAAAAAAGGCTCTTTTGAAAAAGCCTCTTTCGAAAGAGGTTTGCAGTCTAAACATAGCCTTAGCTCCTGAGATCCCAGGTTTTGTGTGGTCTGCAGGCAGTAACAATTAAGCATATTAAGACTAATAAAGAAGCAATTCAGCAGTGCTATCAAAAGAATTATCTTTATGCTTTGGCCTTACTCACTTGACACTGCAGGACACTGCAGGACAAAGTCTAGTTAAGCTATGTTAATTGCGTAGCTGAAGTAGAAATAGCTTAACTGTACTTTTGACATTGTATACATAGCAGGAAGTCGAAGGAAAAACACTCTTACTTTGACTTCCCTTACTCCTTGTGAAGTGAGGGTTATAGAAGTTGAAGTGTTTAAAATTATTTCAAAATAATGGGCTTGCTGTGTAGACTCACACTGTTATTTCAGAATAACATGAGTTATTTCAAAATAAGCATGAAGTATAGACATAGCCACAGTGTTTATAAATGGAAATGCAAACCTTGACTTTTTGTGTCAGACTTTTCAGACTGATAGATCTTTACAATCAACACATTTTATATATGAAAAATATACCTTTATATTTTTATCAAATACCTGAAGTTCGTAAAATTTGTTTTTTGGTTGTGGAACTGGAGGAAACATTTTTTTCAAATTGCAGCACCTTTGTGAACAAGAAGAAATAGTGAAAAAAAAAAGATGGATACGGGACATGGACAAACATTTTCTGTTCTCTTACATGTTTGATACATTTCTTATTTTCCTTTTTCAAGATACAAAGAATCAGTGGAGTAACATAAATTATTTTTTTAGAATAAGACAACTTCTGTTCCCTCGTGACTAGTTTTAAAAAATAAAGTCACTTATACCATTGAAACAGGAACTAGATTAGAATAAAGAAACCATAATGTCTGATTCTCCAGTGCCATAAAAGTTGGGAAATCAGTCATGCCATTGCAATGTAAATGTAAAATGCTGCTAAATAGGAATGACTGCAATTTACATTATTTTACATTAGTGTAAATAACCACACAAGGCACAGGGAAATGGAGAATTAGGCCCCTTATTAAAGCTCATCTGTTCCACTTTTAAACCTTCCCAAAATTTGCTTCAGTGCCATTCCACTGATCTAGCTTCTTGCTACAGTGTTAAAGAAATAGTACAAATAATATTTGACAGGAGTTAGATAGTCAAATGTAGTTAAAGACGTGTTATTGATTTCACTACTCCAAGAGTTTACTTATATAAATTAGACTGCAAGTTTTTTTGGGACATAAAACGTTCAAAAAGACAATCTTTCTATGTAACTGCTCCAAAAACTGTTACAAGAACATATTAAATTGCAAAGTCAAGCACTCCGAGGTTAGGAAATGCCAGAATTTTGCCTGAACAAATGTAGTTCTGTCTTCTTGTGTTCCATGCATTACAATATACAGGCAGTCCCCGGGTTACGTACAAGATAGGGACTGTAGGTTTGTTCTTAAGTTGAATCTGTATGTAAGTCGGAACTGGCATCCAGATTCAGCCGCTGCTGAAACTGATCAGTTTCAACAGCGGCTGAATCTGGACGCCAGTTCTGACTTACATACAGATTCAACTTAAGAACCCCAGGCATCCCCAAGTCAGCTGCTGCTGAAACTGATCAGTGGCTGATTCCAGGAAGCCTGGGGCAGAGGCTTCCTGTAGTCAGCCACTTGTCATTTTCAGCAGCTGCTGACTTGGGGACACCTGTGGCAGAGCAGCTGGGGTAAGTCTGAGGAAGAGTGGTCTTTCTCGGACTTTGTGCTATATAGACATCGCCAAAAGCTGAAATACGCTATTTCAACTTCAGCTACGCAATTGACATAGCTCGCGTTGTGTGTCTTATTTCAGATTTAGCCCTGCTGTGGAGATGTGCCCTAACTGTGTATTCCACTTTAAGAGTTCCTGGATTGAAATCCTTGGTCTGATCTTCAGAAGCACTGAGTGCTTACAACTGCAACCAAAGTCCATGAAAGCTACACTTTAAACACAAGGGCTGTGTCTACACTGGGCCACTTATTCCGGAAACGCAGGCGCTTTTCCGGAATAACTTGCCAGCTGTCTACACTGGCCGCTTGCTTTTCCGTAAAAGCAATGACGATCTACTGTAAAATTGTCAGTGTTTTTCCAGAAAAACTATGCTGCTTCCGTTCGGGCAAAAGTCCTTTTCTGGAAAAACTATTCCAGAAAAGGGCCAGCATAGACAGCACATTAGTCTTTTCCGCAAAAAAGCCCCGATCGCGAAAATGATGATCGGGGCTTTTTTTCCGGAAAAGCGCTTCTACATTGGCCATGGACGCTTTTCCGGAAAAAAGTGCTTTTCCGGAAAAGCATCCTGCCAATGTAGATGCGCTTTTTCCGGAAATACTTATAATGGAAAACTGTTCTGTTTTAAGCATTTCTGGAAAAGGGTGCCAGTGTAGACGTAGCCAAGAAGTTCTATTTAACTCTGAGTTCTCTAAAATATATTTGGTCCCAGTAGTCTCAGATTGGACATCCAAAATTAGTGGTTAGTTGACCTTAATCTCTCAGTGCCTCTTCTTCCCATCTGTAAAATGGGAATAATATAGCCCCTTTAATCTCACAGGAGTATTGTGAAAATAAATGCATTAATGTTTGTGAAGCATTCTAATGAAGATGATATGGTAATGTGTACCATAGAAAAGCCTATTAAGATACCATCAGTTCTGTCCGCACCACAGGATTAGAATATAGTGCAGTAAAAAAGGCTTTGGGCCACAGACTGAATAATAACAAACTACTGACTATTTGTTCATTAAATGCACACCATTCTGTGCACTGAATGAGACAGCGGTTTTGTGGAAAAAATAGTATGTGATCATGTAATTAAAGACTGTGTCATAATGTATGTGCAGAAGGGAGATAAATGAAGGTAGCACAAATTGCTCTTTCCTATTTTATGAGTGTTTGACTTTGCATTAATGTGATTTAACAGTTTTTTGTGTTCAATTGCCTAGATTTTTTTTCAAAAGCCAGTTAAAAAAAATCGAAATTCCATCATGTGGCATCATATTGATCTTCATGGTTGTCAGCAGGGTTGGAACCTTTAAACCTCCACCATATAGACCTGCCATTTCAGTTCATGGATAAGTGATAACAGTAGTTATCCCCAGTGGACCAACAGTAGAGGGAGATAGGACACTTTGCCAATGAGGTTCACAGAGTTTCCTGACTGCAAAGGAATGGTAAGACTCAGGGAATTTGGGTTCCATTTCAGGCTCTGAATGAGGATGCTTTAGTGCATGCGTTCCCAAACTGGGAGGCATGCCCATCTGGGGGCGGGGAGGGGGAGGGGCGTGAAGAAATTCCACACACCCCCCCCAAGCACCCCAAGTCAATAGCACCCCAAGTTTGCTGCTATTTTGGGGGGGGGGGGAGCATGAGGGTTTCTCAAAAATCAAAAAGGAGGCGTGATGCCAAAAAGTTTGGAAACCACTGCTTTAGTGGGTACAGACTCTTCTGCCCATCCCCAAGAGTTTTACATCTTTTCCCTCAAATCTATCTCTCTGAGGCTATGACTACACTTGCAGTCTATAGGCGAAATAAGCTATGCAATTTCCGCTATGCAAATTGCATGTTATTTTGAGTTTATTTCGAAATAAAGTGCTATTTCAAGTCATCCCTTAACCCTCATGAAATGAGGATTACCAGGATGCCAAAATAGCGCGCCCATTCTTTCAAAAAATATTTTGAAATAACGGGTGGTTTGTGAAGATGAGGGTGAGCTATTTTGGGATACCTGTGGTATCCCAAAATAGCACTGCAGTGTAGACATACCTTGACAGTACTGGCTCTAACCCTCCACTGGCTACTCATTCCAGTCCCATTCTCTATCCCTATTCCAGTCTCCTTGTTCAGTCAAAGCTCAGTCTTCTCCAGCTCCCAGTCCCCTTGCTCAGCCATTGCCAGTCCATCCTTTCTTCATGCTCTAGTCCCTTGTTCCCAGTTGTCTCACTCAGTCCATCCCAGTTCCCACCCTCACTCCCAGTATGTCTCCTTGGGCCCCTCATCCAATCTCAGTGTTTTCCAGCTGTTTGTCCTAGTCTCATTGCCCTGTTAGTCCCAGTTTCCCCTCACCCATACTCCACCTGTCTTTCCCAGATTTCTCTCTTTGGCCACCAGGCCCAGTTTTTGCCCTGAAACCCTATTTGTTCCCCCAGACCTCTCATGCAGGGATTTACACTGGGTTCTTGATCCCTCTACATTTGAATCAGACTATTCCCTCCTCCATGTTGCCAGAGTGCTAGTGGGGAGTCACTGAAGACGGAGGGACAGGGTTCCTGATCCCATTTCTGGTGTTTAGCCCCACCTCAGTCCGGAGCAGCCATTGAATCCTAATCTTGATCTGGAGCATGCTCCAGTCACTCTTTGGGGATAATGCATGGGCAATTCGGTCAGCATGAGGAGCTGTGAGAGGCTCAAGCATGCAGGGGACCGTAAATTCTTTAGAGATTTCAGCTGCTAAGCTCTGGCAAGACCTGACTGAGCATGTGCAAACCTACATTATTCAAGGGCTTATAACTTGGTCAGATTTTTTCAATTTTCACAGAAACAGCACAAGACACAACCCTGGCATAAAGGGTTTGTGTCTGCCAAATTTCAAATCCATGCTCCAAAGCATGGCTATATCAGCATTAGAGCTATCCAAGAAAATGTCATTGATTTTTTTTACAATGCGCAAATTAGCATATATTTCCTAGCCTAATTCTCTGAAATGACTGACTGTTTTTGGCTGACATTAAAAAGGAAGAAAATGAGTTAGTTAATTGACCATACTGCAGACTCCCAGCATGGAAAACTTCCAAACAAATGGTTTGGCAAAGTTATAAACAACTGAAAACAGGATTCTTAGCATGACAAATGGTGGGCAACCTTAATAAAAAGTGGTGGTACCAGTTCCCTCAAATATGTGATATTATATTATATTATATTATATTATATTATATTATATTATATATAAATATCATCCTCCATACTGCAGACTCCCAGCATGGAAAACTTCCAAACAAATGGTTTGGCAAAGTTATAAACAACTGAAAACAGGATTCTTAGCATGACAAATGGTGGGCAACCTTAATAAAAAGTGGTGGTACCAGTTCCCTCAAATATGTGATATTATATTATATTATATTATATTATATTATATTATATTATAAATAAATATCATCCTGCAAAAATAATCAGGCAAAATTTAGACATGTAAAGTGGTTCTGCAGGGTGGGATATATACATGTTTCACAAAAAGATTTACCTTTTGCATAGAAAAAATATAAGCAGTGCCACTAGGATTGTTCCAATTGCTATGAGAAGTAAAACAATTGGGTACATAAGGGCTGCACCATCTGTGTTACCTTAAAGAAAGATAGTCACAAAGATTATACATGTTTAGCACAGTAAAGATGAACACAGGTGACAAAGTCAAATCTCTGCTTAGATTACTCATAGCAATCAATGGCAGTATGAAAAGCCTTCTTGTGAAATCTGAACTACCTTGGTGAGTAAAGGACTAAGGAGCAGATAGAATATATAAATCCAACAACAGAAGCATAGATCAGTCAGGGCCATAGAGCTCAGGAGTTTATGAGGACTCCATCAGTAGACAAAGGGAGAAAAGTAATAAAGGAAATTCTCAACATCCTTACCAAAGTCAATGGGCTCACTCCATTCCCCCCATTTTTTGCTTATGAGACAAGCATCTCCCTTGGCTCTGATTTTCAAGGAGTATTTTTTTTTCACATTGTAATTCTCAAATGTGAAACTTGTTCCTTGTGCCTAAAAACAATGCTATTATTATTATTATTCATTACTTTTATTTTCATAGTGCCTAAGAACCAGGCAAGAATGCCACCCCACTGTGCTAGACACTGTACAACAAAGAATTAGACTAACTACTCTTTTTCATTGTACATGTAGAGTTGCTAACATGCAATGTTTTCATTTGTTGATCCAAGTTTACAAAGGGTGCATCTACACAGCAGCATTATTTCAGAATAAGTGACATTATTTCGAAATAACACAGTGCCTGTGTCTACACTGGCATGAATTTCTGGAACTGTTTAAAACGGAATACGATTCCGTTTTCAGTTTTTCCGGAAAAGGAGCGTCTACATTGGCAGGCTGCTTTTCCGGAAAAGCTCTTTTTCCGGAAAAGCGTCTGTGGCCAATGTAGACGCGCTTTTCCGGAAAAGAGCCCCAATCGCCATTTTCGCGATCGTGGCTTTTTTCCGGAAAAGACTACTGGGCTGACTACACTGGCCCTTTTCTGGAACAGTGTTCTGGAATAAGGACTTATGCCCGAGCAGGAGCAGAATAGTTTTTCCGGAATAGCGGCTGATTTTTTACAGTAGAGCATTGTTGCTTTTCCGGAAATTCAAGGGCCCGTGTAGACAGCTCGCAGCTTATTCTGGAAAAGCGGCTGATTTTCCGGAATAAGTGGCCCAGTGTAGACACAGCCTGCATGTCTACACAGCAAGCCATTATTTCGACATAATGTCTAGATGGACAATTTCTTACTCCAACTCCTGTAACCCTCATTTCATGAAGTGTAAGGGAAGTCAAAGGAAGAGTGTTCTTCCTTCGACTCTCTGCTGTATAGATAGCTCCAAAAGCCAAATTGAGCTATTTTGACTTCAGCTGCACAGTTGATGTACCTGAACATGTGTAGCTTAATTTCACTTTTGCCCTGCAATGTAGATGTGCCCCAACCATATATTTGTGCCTACCTATGAAAGCAGAATATGGTTGACACACACTGTACCTCAAAATGGAATTCCGAAACCCTCATATTCATCATGCATATACGGTTGTGGTATGAATAGGTAAGATATCTCGTGAAAGGGCATGATTGACAGAAACTCATTGTTCTTTCCAAACATGTATAATATTACTGTATATGAAGTTATGAGATTTTGTTGTATGGTTGTTACTAAGATTATCAAATGATAACATATTAATTAATTGTGTAATTTAAAAATTAATTACAATCATGCTGTTAATAACAGAATACCTATTGTGCCACTGCCTGCTAGTATAACATAATTCTACTGCCCAGTCCTTTCCATTTAAGAACTGCTTAAATTTTGTCAGAGGAAGTTCAAGCTGCCTTACTGAGATCGCCAGGTAATCTGAATTGTCCCTGCAAATTTTTATGGAAGAATTTAAGCAAAATCTATGCAAGGACCTATTATACTGCTCCTGGAAGGACTTTTTGAAAATCTTTGCAAAACTAGGATAAGCCCATATGTTGGTATGGAAAGAGAATTGTTACCGTATGAGGCTCATTTTTGTTTTCCTCGGGGTTGGCCTGCAAAAGAAAGAAAAATATTTATTATTATTTTTTTTGTTACCCTGTAATAATGTCTTTCTTCCTTTTTTTTCCTTTTGGACAATTTACGTGCTTGCTTGTTTCAGAAGAAGGTGCAAATAGAATTTACAAAGCCTATATTATGGAATAAATGGCCTTTTATCATATACAGATTTCTTTGGTTGTAATCAGTGTCTGGCAAACCTGGAGTGTCTGCTCTAATAACTCCCCTTTGATGGGTTTCTTATTCAATGTTTGGGCTTCTTGCATTTTTCGTTTCCCTTCTTTGACTAAGCAATTGCATGATGCTGGTGCTGATTAAAGTCTTCCTCTTCCCCGCTTGCCCTGTTTGTGACATCACAAAGGAAGCAGAGGCAGAGGCTGAAACTAAGGCTGGTTCCTTGGGTGCATAAGTGGCTAATCTTGTTTGACTTTCGTTCTCTCTTCTATGATTTTATTTTGGGTCTCTGTTTGCAAGGAAACCATTATGGTCAGACAATCATAAGGCCAGTACTATACTAGAGGGGAAAGTCAACCTAAGATATGCAACTCCAGCTACAAGAATATCATGGATGGAGTCAATGCACCTTAGGTCAAATTTCTGCAGCATCCCCACTGTGGAAGGTTGATGGGAGAAACTCTCCCATAGACTTCTCTTACTCCTCAAAATGCAGTGAAGAACCAGGATTAACGAGAGTGCCATCAGTGGCTGATTTAGTGCAGGGCTACTCAACACGTGGCCCGCGGCGCATGTGGCCCGCAGGCTGTTTGTTTGTGGCCCGTGGGGCAATTTGGGTTTACACAGGGCTCAACACGTGGCCCACGGGGTGGGGGGGAGGGGGGGAGATCCTTTGAACATGGCCTCCACAACGGTGAGCCGTCTCCCAGGCGGGGTGAGCATTGAAAGATGCAAGCAGACAGACTGGCTGGAACAGACAGGTATAGGTTGTCGGCATTTCTAGTCCCCAGGGAGGAGGTGCTGGGAGTGCAGGGGCATTTGTGTTCATTCTTGTCAATGTGAAAGAAGCTATTTGCATATATATTTATATATTTATGTATAAGCAACCACACTTGAATTGTAGCCCTTGGCATGTGCATTGTGTCCCCCAGGGCTTCCAAAGTTGAGTAGCCCTGATTTAGTGAGTTCTTACTAGACCTGTTAAATCAAAGCCTGGGAGATTGATCTTTGGGGTGTTGATCTCTGAGGATGTGGAAAGAAGCCCTTTCTAGAATCAGTTATACTGAAGTGTAGCATAACAAAACATGTCTTGTTTAGGTTTCTAGGATGCCATCATGTGGTCATCTTATTCCATTATTTCAAAGACAAAGTAACTTAAATCTGTTCATCCTTGTGCTGGAAAACAGCAACCTGAGATCCTTTTATATAACTTTGGAAAGGCCCAGTCATTACACCAATGGGATATTTATCTACACTGAGAAAACAAGAGCGATCTATCTGTATTGCTCAGGGTATGAAAATCCTGCACATTGAAGTTCTGTGATTAGTTTGACCTAAACCCTAATGCAAAATAGACATCACCTCTCAGAGAGGTAACAACTACAGTGATAGAAAATCCCCATCAGTTGCTGTAGGAAGCATCCTCACTATTGCAGCTCCATAGCCGTGCTGCTGTTGTGTCTATAATGTAGACATCCACAAGCCCTTTATATTTAAACTGTTACCTTCAGGCATCTTTGATTTTCTTCTTTCAGTCTAAGATCCCTAATTCCATAATTGACATTACTGGTTTAGCTTTTACTGACTGGCTTTATTGTTTAAAAGAGGTTCCCACCCCAGTAAGCAACTTCAGTCCTGAGCTATTCCCATTGAATCAATGACAGCTATACTTCCTCTCCCCAGGGCTGAGTTTGGTCTTAAGAATGTTGTATCTCAGCCTTGATTTCAACTTGCTCCTAGTCCCAGCTTGCTGCTACAACCCAGTGCATAACATCACACCAGTTCAACAGAGAAAGCTGTTTGGTTAATTATCACAAATCCCTGTCTGTTGGAACAAACTCTTACAATCAATTTATTTCAAATAATATATGGAGATATACCATCTCCTAGAACTGGAAGGGACCTTGAGAGGTCACCAAGTCCAGTCCCCTGCCCTCACAGCAGGGCCAAGACAGATTTGCCCCAGATTCCTAAATGGCCCTCTTTAGGATTGAATTCATAACTTTGGGTTTAAGCAGGTGAATGCTCAAACCACTAAGCTATCCCTCCCCCCAAGTGGAATAAAATTATAGTCATTACAAAGAGCTACTGCACAAGAATGTTAACTGAGCAAAGGGAAGAATTGCAAATGTCAAAGCTTGTCTATACCACGGCCTTTATCATGGAAACACATAGACACTCTTAAGTGTAATTGGTTCCCTGTACCTACAACATAATATGAAATCACACACAAAAGTCCTGTGCTAAGGAGGCATTAAGTTCACAAAGCAAAGCACTCAAAAGTTAGCGAACATAAGAATAAAATTCTCCTTGCAAACTTAGTTTGTCTCCTTTCTAGTATGCATTATGGTACAGTCTTTAATTACTGAGCACCACAAGACCAGCACTGGAAAGGGCATGGACACTTTACCAGTGAGTTTCACAGATAGTTGCTGAAAGCAGAACAACGTTGAGACTCTGGGATCATGGGTTTCACTGCAAGCTCTGGAGGGGAGTCTCAGAATGGACAAAGACTTTTCTGACCATTCCCCACAAGCTCACCCCATTCTGTCCTTCCCCCTCCAACCTCTGCCAGTCCTGTAGAGCCGACAACTGGCTGCTTATCCCCATCCAATTCTCCTCACTTAGTCAGTTCCAGTCTCCACTTTCAGACTTCTGATCATAATCCCAGGCACCCGTTGCTCAATAGGCCCTAATCTCACCCATCCAACCTTCCATTCTGAGTCTCCCCCATACCCAGTCCTAGTTCCCTGCCCTGCTCCCAGACTCTGCCATCTCCCTGTTCAACTGTTTCCAGTTGCTTGTCCTGACTTCCTGATCTGTCAGTCTCCCTCTGCAGCCTTTAGTCACAGCCCCACCTTCCACACTCACGTTTCCTATCCCTAATGGTTCTTCATTCCGTCCTTGTCTCACATGGTTCCTTGTCCCATTCTCTTTTGCCCCACTGGTCCCAGTTCTCCCCCTGCTCTCCGACTCATTGTCAGATCTGTCTCTTCTTCCCTACAACCTCCTTCTCTCTGATGCATTTGTTCCTAGTTGCCATCTCCTTACCCTGACAGTTCCAATCTTGTCCCTCCCCTGTCTCCCTCACTGATTCTGAAACCAACTCTCCTTGCAAATCCCAGCTCCACCTTTCCTGGCTCCTTGTTCCAATCTACATTGCCACCAGGCCTTCCCTATAATACAGTTGCATCAGATGGCTTCCTCCTCCACACTGCCAGAGCTCTAGTGGGGATACATTGAGAGCATAGAAAAGTCCAGCTGTTAGTTCTAGTATTGAGTCCCACCTTGCCAGCACCTATTGAGAGCAGCCATAACCTTGCAGCCCTGGCCTGGACCATGCTCAGCAGCTCTGTGGGGACAGCACACTTGCAAAGTCTACTCAAAATTAAGAGCTGTGAGAGGGTCAAGTATGCTCAGTGAGTCTCTACTCAGAATGTACAAACTGATTTTTTTCCAAAGACTTCCCATCTGGTTATATCTGTGCAAATTTTCACTTGGATGATAAAAGGCACATCCCTGACAAAAACTTTATTTTTCTCTAATCTTCTTATTGAAATTTGTTGGACCATTTTGGCTAATAATGTATAGAACATTTCAACCCAAATAGTTATAAAGTTTGGCAAAGTTAGTAGTAACCAAAAGCAAGGTCTTAGACTGGGAATGCCGGGCAATCTTAATGATAGCTGGTACTGCACTATCAGCCTTGCCTGTAATGTTGTATGGGTCATCTTTACACTTCAAAAAGGCATATTTTGAGGTGGGGATGAGTTAAATTAGTGTATCAGTAGTATGGAAACATACGCTCTTAGGGTATGCCTACACTAGCCCCCTAGTTCGAACTAGGAGGCTAAGGTAGGCATTCGAAGTTGCAAATCAAGCCCAGGATTTAAATATCCCATGCTTGATTTGCATCTTCCCGGCTGGTTGCCATTTTTGAAATGTACAAGTCCAGACTAACTACCCACGTCTACACGTGGCAGGGACCCAGTATTTCGAAATAGCAAAAAATATTTTGAAATAGCATGTCAACACTGAGTGAACCCTGAACCGAAGTTAAGGCTGGCTGGAACCAGTGCCAGCAAGGCATCAGGTTAGGACTTAGTGTGTGGGGCTGCTGCCTGAGACTAACTGAGCTCTGTGCTTAAAGGGACCCTACCTCCACCCCAGACAGACAGTTCTCAGGGTTCCCCGCTTGCTTGTCTACCTTGATGAGGGACAGCAAAGCAGTCTTGTCTTGGTCTGCCCTGAGTGCCCACACTCGGGACACCATAGCACTCGGCCACATGGAGCCAGAGCTGCCCCTGGGTATGCTGGTGCATCTCATGGGGTTGTTGCCATCAGCCCGGCTGCACTTGCTGCAGGCTGCCATCTGGGGGGGCCTATCAGTGGGCTGTCAGGATCCAGGAGGCCCTGCGGGAGAGCTTCCATCCCAAGGAGTCTGCAGAACCACCCTGGTCCTCCCCATTGGGGGCTCGTGCCCCATTCCTCCCTGACATCTTTCCACTTACCCCTCCCTAAGCCCCCTTCCTGATGTCAAACAAAAGACACATATGTTCAAAAATAGAAACCTGGTTTATTGAACAAAACTGGGGGGAGGGATGAATCTCTGAGGAGACTAGGAAAAGGAGGTGGGAGAGGGATGGAGAGAGGGTGGGAGAGGGGATGGGGAAACCTAGTAGGAGGGAGCTGGAAGGGAGAAGCAAGGGGAAGGAGTGGGAGGGGAAGCTCATGGCCCAGGATTGGGGGTCTCACCAGACCAACTTGATTTTCATGCAAACCTGCTCCTGGGTTCGCATGTGGCCTTTAGTGACCAGGCTGGTAGCTATCCTGCCATAGATGGTCACATTCCTCCGTCTAGTGCAGAGATCATGGACATTGGGGGCATCCCCCCCAAACCTGAATAAGGTCCATGATCTGCACCCTGGACCAGGAAGGTGCCCACCTTCTCCAGCCCCTGTCAGGCTCCTGGGAGCTGGCAGCTGCTCCTGGGGAGCAGTAGAGAGCTGGCTGCCAGTGGCTTGCTGGCTCATGTTTTGGGGCCACTGGGTTAGGGGCCCTGGTGGCCACCGCTGGCTCTGGGCTGGCAGGCTTGGAGCTGGCACAGGCACTGTGGCCAGGGTCTACCCCTTTAATGGCTCCGGGGCAGGGGGAGAGGAGAGTAAGTTTTCCTGGTTGTGCCCAGACTGGCCACCAGGGCTCCCTGGGAAGGTCTGGAGGCCCCCCATTTCCAATTAAGTGTCTATACAGCACTTAATTTGAAATAGCTATTTCAAATTTGGCATTACTCCTTGTAGAATGAGGTTTACCAAATTCAAATTTAGCGCTCTGCTATTTTGAATTAAATTCGAAATAGTGGTTTGCATGTATAGACGCTATTGAAGTTAATTCGAAATAAGGGCTGTTATTTCGAATTTACTTTGCAGTATAGACATACCCTAAGACTTTAACAGGGTTCAAAAAAGAGCTAGATAGATTCATAGAGGTTAAGTCTATCAATGGTTCTTAGCCAGGACAGGTAGGAATGGTGTCTCTAGCCTCTGTTTATCTGGAAATGGATTACAGAGGAGGGATCATGTGAGGATTACCTATTGTGTTCCCTCCCTCTCAGGAATCTTTGTATTGGCTACTGTTGCCAGACAGGATACTGGGCTAGAGGGACCATTGGTCTTTCCCAGTATGGCCGTTCTTATGTTCTTAGTTTCTTAAGTCAGTCATGTGGGCAAGGTTAGGAAATAAAGAAA